GTTATATTTAACCCAGCATTTTTTAGAGTGTACTATTTATCGGTTATTCTAAAATAGAATTCACGTGTCATGACTTCAAACATATGATTGGCAGTGCATATACACTAACGTTCAAATGTTTGGTGTCAAACTTTTAATGTTTTTGAAAAATAGTCTCTTATGCTCACCAAGGCTGAATTTAAATGAAAATATTAATAAAAAATTTATTTAAAAAAATTGAAATATTATTACAATTAACAAATAAAAAACAATTTTAATATATTTAAAATTGATTCCTGTGGTGGCAAAGCTGAATTTTCAGCAGTCATTTCTCCAGTCTTCAGTGTCACATGATCCATCAGAAATCATTCTAATATGCTGATTTGGTGCTCAAGAAACATTTCTTATTATTATCAATGTTAAAAACAGTTGTACTGCTTAATATTTTTGTAAAACCCATGATGCATATTTATTCAGGATTCTTTGATTAATTGAAAATTCGAAAAGAGAACAGAATTTATGTCAAATAAAAATCTTTATAACATTATAAATGTCTTTACTGTCACTTTTGATCAGTTTCTTGAATCCTTGCTGAATAAAAATGTTAATGTCCCACTGTTAGTGACAGATGCTGATAAGCTCAAAAGGGCCAAAGGTTGGCCATTTTATCAGCCTGGCCAATAAACCGGCGTATTAGTAGACGGCTGTTTGGATTCTGTGGAAATCTACAGAGCTTACTGCAGGATTCTGCAGGCCCAGCTTCCACGAAGCCCTGCTTGATGACACACTGAGTTCTATTAGTACTATATTAACTAATTACTGTGAGTTGCTACAAACACAAGGGCCCTCATTAAAGCTGAGATGGGAAAGATGAGGCATGGGCGACGCATAACTAACGCTTGTTTAGTTTCCTAGTGTTTGTTCTGTCTCATACAAGGATCTTCAGCTTCTGTAGTATAGCAGGCGGGAGGAAACAGTAACTGAATGCCAAATACTACACTATGGCTTTTAAATTAAGTGTGTGTGTATGTGTGTGTGTTTGTGTTTGTAGACTCCAGTCACCTGAAAACACAACTAATGCAAATCTCTGCAAAACAGCCCACCCTACAGTAGCTTCTCTGCTCATATTCAAAGAGAAGAAGTTTACATTGAAGCAGGTGTGTGTGTGTGTGTGTGTGTGTGTGATTATCACTCACAGGCTGCTGGAGAGAGAGTGTGAGCAGGTACTGCAGCAGTCACAGCATTGTTATGTAACCCATCTCAAGTGGCCTGCTATTAGCTCAGCCTATCCTCACACGTGCTTTCCTGTCCCACACACACCTGCTCCGCCACTCATTATCACACAGTGAGTCAGGCGTCTCCTTGGCAACACCGTCGTCATGCACTGTCGCAGGAACAAGAAAAAAAAAACTCCTTGGCCTCTAGACTTGTGATCAATGCAAGTTCAAAGGTCACTTATTCACCGCTGGATCCGTTCCTCCCAGCTGGGCGTCTCGGGCTGTGTGTGTGTGTGTGACTGTGAACGGATGACTGCAGGAGTGCGTGTGCAGCAGCCAGCCATGCTAATCAAACTGATTATTGCAATCATGCTGCTATTTCCAGAGTCGGTTTGATGGCAGCGTTCTGAAACTGCCTTTCCATTACAAAACAGCTGCTTTATGATGATGAGAGCCGAGGACACGTGATCAAACGATTATGCTGTCTGTCAGATGAGAAAAGTAGTTTAATGGCACTTTAATGACAGCCCAAACACCTTTCCCACACACTGCAGCAGCGTGAATGTGCTGAAGTGTATAGATGTGTGTGTACGTTTTTGAGGTGTTCACTGCTATGTTATAAGGTGCTATATGTGACTAGTGTAATTTCTTAGATGTTAAAATATTTTTTTTCTATTTGAGTTGCAGGTTAATTTCGCTTGATTTGGTTGTTTGCATACACTACCTTTTAAAAGTTTGGAGTTGGTAAGATTTTTTTTATGTTTTTGAAAGTCTCTTATGCTCACCATGGCTGCATTTATTTGATTAAAAAAATACTATAAAATTTGTAATATTGTGAAATATTATTACAGTTTAAAATAACTGTTTTCCATGTTAATATATTTTAAAGTGTCATTTATTTCTGTGATGCAAAGCTGAATTTTCAGCATCATTACTCCAGTCTTCAGTGTCACATGATCCTTCAGAAATCATTCTAATGTGCTGATTTGGTGCTCGAGAAACATTTCTTATTAGTATAAATTTTTTAAAGAATTGTGCTGTTTGTGGAAACCATGATGCATTTTTTTCGGAATCCTTTAATGAATAGAAAGTTCAAAGGAACAGCATTTATTTGAAATAGAAAGATTATATAAACACTATAAATGTCTTTTTGATCAATTGAATGTGTCCTTGCTAAATAAAGTATGGCTTTATTTAAAGTCAGTGTTAGAATGGATAAAGTTATAATTTTAGTCTTTTAAATTGATAATTCACTCAAAAATGTCATTATTTATTCACAACAGATACAAATTTTGATCTTAAAAACGTACTAATAAATGTTGAAATTGACATTAAGTAAAATTAATATAGTAGAAGTATTGTTCATTGTTAGTTTAACTAATGTAACATTAAAAATCTTACTGACCCCAAACTTTTTAACAGTAGTGCACATTCAGTATATGAACATGTTAATATTTGTCTTGCCTTGAGCTTATGAGGCAGCTGGAAGGCCCTTATCACTGAATGTTCAGTGTTGATTAATCATGTATAATTTTATGATACGTTACCAGTTGACCTTAACTAAACTCTATCGCTCAATGTCGTCCAGGTCTCATGTCCTCTATCGTTCTCCATCTTTTTTTTTTCACTGGCCCGTCACAACAGTGTTGTTTTCTTGTCTGTTTTTTCACCCCCGCACCTCAGGTCTCATCTTTAGTGGAATAATAGGGCAGTTCATGAGACTCGACCCTCACAATCTAGTCTCTGTTCATCCGTCCTCACTTGACCAATGTTTTCCCACTTCCTTTAATGGTTTTCATAGATTTCATAATGCACCATTCTCTGGAACCAATTAGCAGCAATTTATGCCTAATCCTAATTTTCCTGTTTTATTTTAGATCCCATTGAAACCTTCAGCAAAACCAGACCGCTCTTTTCCAGCGAGTCACTTTGTCCCGCTTCTGTGTGAAAGTGTGTTTGACCTTGTTCATGCGCCTGTTTCTCAGAAGAGCAGCATGTTTATCCAGTGTGTTTTTCTTGGAAAGCCTCATTCCCTATTGTATAGCAGAGAAAAGCACTGTGTTCGAATCAGAAGATCCGCATGCCCGGGTGTGTCACCTCGTGAGTGTGTGTTTCATGATTGTGTAAGGGAAGGCAGTCTTTTCCCACCTCTAAACACATCCTGTAACTCTCTGCGCACCTTGCAGCGCTCCTGTCAGGATGGCTGTGAAAAGCACCTTACATAACTGCTGTGATGAGCCACCACACTGTTACCCCCCTCCTTATTTCTCACACGCCACACACCCCACACTCAACTCAGATGTACACACTAATCACATACACACTCACACAGCAAATTGTAGAATGCAAACAAATATCTTGTACGTGAGCTTCTGTGTGGGCACACACACTTTGCAAACAGAATGACTCGCTGTTATTATCTAAAACAAAAAACTCTGACTGCGGTTCATTTTCATGACTACTTCCCGGTTTCTAGAGCTATCTTTGCATCTAGGTGTTAAAGTTGTCCAGATTTGCCTCTATATGCTTTAGCTTTTGAAAGAAAAAGCTTGAGGGAGTTTCAGCACACTGGCTCATATTCATGAGCTTGCTTTTGCAAGTAGAGATGGGTCTTGATGATCAACTTAGTCGTCCATGTTCTAGTCTAGTCAGGCGATAATTCATAGCACAAAGCCATTTAACATTTCAATGTAGTCTGGGTCTCATTTTCTTTTACTTTTTGATGTCAAATATCATGTCCATGTTGACATCTGTCTAATTTGGGTAGATTCTTCCAAGCGATGATTTTGTATTCTGATGAACTGAACTTTGAATGGTTGGTCAGTAAGGTTTAATACTTTTATTCAGCAAAGATGCATTAAAGTGATTTAAAGTGACAGTAAAGACTTCTACACTGTTACAAAAGAAATCTATTTCTACAAAACATTTAAGCAGCATTTAATGTTTCTTGAGCAGCAAATCATCATATTCGAATGATTTTGGAAGGATCATGTGACACTGAAGACTGGAGTAACGGCTGCTGAAAATTCAGCTTTGTATCACAGGAATAAATGACATTTTAAAATATATTCAACTAGAAAACAGTTCTTTGAAATTGTAATAACATTTCACAATAGTACTGTTTTTGCTGTGTTTTTGATCAAATAAATGCATCTTCGGTGAGCATAAGAGACTTCTTTCAAAAACATTTAAAAAATAAATTTACTGTACATCCCAAACTTGAACAGCAGTGTATATTTACTGTGCTGCTTCTGTCCACAACCTGATCAAAACAGATTTGTGACCCATTTTTGAGGCCTACCATTTTCTACTGCTTTTTAGAAAGACAGTTTCTTGGTGGAAACATGCTGTGCTTTAGTGTGCTACAGTCTTTGAGGTCTTCAGCAGCAACTGTTATGCAACAAAACTCTGCTGCTACACTTGCACTGTAGAGTGTGAGACTGTCAGCAAGGTAAAACATCCTCCAATAAGTAGTGTCATTAAATCCTAAAACCATTAAACCCACTTTTGTAACACATTCGTCACATTCAGCAATGATTTTGAAGACAATTACTCTCAAATCACCTGCTGTGAGCAGTGTTTCTGTTACTATGTATAATCTGTAAGTTTTTCTGAGAGGACTATTACTGTTTTGTAGTTATTTAGCCTAATTATTTGTTGAATATATCTGTTGAGAGCTGGACTTTACCCATTAGTCCATATATCACGATAAATCGTGTCACTTTTTCAGCATTCTTTCTTCTGAAAGTATTGTCCCATTAATTCTCTCCATTCTCTTCTTAAAAATTTGTAAAAAGGATAAAAGTGCACTACTGTTCAAAAGTTTGGGGTTTGTAAGACTTTGTGTTTTTGGAAGAAGCCTATTATTCTCACCAAGGCTGCATTTGTTTAATCAAAAATGCAGTAAAACATGGAAATGTTGTGAAATATTATTACAGTTTAATATGTTAATGTGTTAAAATGATTTATTCCTGTGATGCAAAGCTGATTTTTCAGCATCATTACTCCAGTATTCAGTGTCACATGATCCTTCAGAAATCATTTTAAAGGGGTCATATGATGTGATTTAAATTTTTCCTTTCTCTTTGGAGTGTTACAAGCTCTTGGTGCGTAAAGAAGATCTGTAAAGTTGCAAAGACTAAAGTCTCAAATCCAAAGAGATATTCTTTATAAAAGTTAAGAGTCAACCACTCCTACCTAAAACGGCTCGTTCTAACATGCTCCCACATATCTAGGTCACTATGTGGAAATATTAGCATAATGCAGCCCAAATGTGCAGGCAAA